AGTAGGAGCTGAGGATAGATCACAGTCTGTCTTCCCTCCACTAGTCGACAGTCCAAGCCGGTGACAGCCCTATTACCAACACATTGATTCAGTTACAACGCTGGAAACTACTACATACTGCGAGTGGTTATCTTTTTCATGAATTGTTCTAAAACTGACTAAAATGCGTGAAAACAACTTGACGCGAAACTCACAAGAACCCCCATCACTCGCCTACAATAAGGAACCTGTCGTAGCGACCTAGTTGAGAAACATTACAGTGGCGGACAGGGTCGAGGACATCGAAAAAAATACAGTTGCGAGATCGACAAGATTAAAATTACAAACGCTATATAAAAGTCGAAACCCTTGATGGAAGCGCTGACAAAAAGGTGTCCTAATAATTCCTCCGGTTGCCGGAAAGGAAGGTGGAATATGCCCAGCACTCCGACTAAACAGTTGACGAGTTTCATTCGAGTAGTGGGGGTTGCGAACGAAGCGAAGAGAAGAGAGGACTAAAAAGCATTATCTTACAATTCCAAGTGCACCTAGAAAGAGACGACAGAGTAAGGAGACAGGTGACCAAACGTAATCGCTACACTGAAGAAATTTAAAATTCAAGTCTGTGGCAATGAGTCTGAGCGGCCATCGGATACACACTAAAAACTTAAGAGAGTTCTGGTTCGGATTAAAACTCGTATGTGATTCATTACAAGGATAAATAAGTAGTTCGTCTTTAACAGCCCAGATACAGGCATGCGTGTTTGTGTGAAAAACAACAGAGGCACAGGGCTGGCGGAGATTGACTTACCTTAATGAGATTGGACATTGACTTCATCACATCTGTGCTACTCTTAATGGCGCCAGACATCCGAATCACTGCTATCTGATGATCCAAGTCCATGCAGACTGTTTGAAGCTCTGCTTTGGCAGAGTACAATCGATTAACGGCCTTGCGAGAGGCGACAATTTGGCGCGCAAGTAATTTTGCTGCATCCATGTTACCGGTTTTCGCGTACCGTTTTACCTCTATTTCAGACTGCTTTGACTTCTGCTGAATCGCATTAATTTCGCGGTCCAGTTTCATCTCTTCCCGCCGCATTTTCCTCTGGAGTTCTCGCACCTTCGTACGCGGATCCTCCTTTTTTCCGAGTAACTTCATTCTACAGCAATGCAAAGACAGTCGAATTAGCTAGGGTGGGTGGGTAAGTGAGTGATTTAGTGGAGTAAAAATGGGTCACACAGAGACCTTGCCCGCTGGAAGTTTGAGATTTCCAGGGTAGCTTAGGTGGATATTCACTAGGGAGTCAAAGACCAAGACAGGATGACAACAAACGAATGAGCTGAGCAGATGATCGAAAAGGTACGGCATGCATTGAGATAAAAAAAATGCCAGTCAGAGCGAATATGCATTTAAGGAGTGCCAGTTGAGTGGTTGTCGTGAAAGAAAACAGCAGAGCACAGGGAGAGGCAAAGTACTTTCTGAGATCTAAAGCATGTGGACGTATTTATAAACGCGTCGGTGGTAATAGTTAAAGACGGGCCACAGTGCAGCTGCGCCACTTAACGAATGAGTTTTAAAATGAGGACAAATTTCTGAATCAATAAAATTACACATTGGACTACTGTTATTATTTTGCTGGTAAATTGAAATAGGAGCAAGGGGACGAAAAAAAACAATACAACACCGAGTCATGGATGTTTATCCACTGGCTTCTTTCAAATCCGAAACTGCTAAACAATTGGCAGAATTGGGAAGTAAAAACGATTCCAAATTAATTAAGGTCGCCTATCTCACAAAACATGAACCGAAATTCGGAAATATAATTTCAGCTAAAGGTAATAAAGTAGGTGAGGCTGTACTAGTGAGTACGATAAAATATAACCCCAGTCACGTTAGGATGCTGGTTTTTGGATTCATGACTTAACAGTCTCTTAGAAAAATCACAGTCACTAAAAAAGGAGTAACTAGGCCGCAGAATTTTGTCCATATACTTACAAATTCAAACGTATTTTACAGAAAGCGTGTACAAAATATCGTTTTTCTACTCATTTATGTCTTCTTAAAAATTTATTTTAGGAGAAACTGTATCATTCTGTTCTTAAAAAATTTGTATTGATGACATTTTTCTAAGACAGTAAAATGCCTGCCAAAATAGCATCGTGCTTATCTCTTTTTTATGCTTCTTGCTAAATATATAACGTGACCCGTATTCATTACGCAATCATCTGAGGTATTTAAAGGACTTTCTTGTTTGCGTAAAGGAACATTAGAGTTCCTACAAATAGGGAGCATAGAACTTGTATGTTCAAAACAGCAAATGTATTTTGGAACGGATGATCGGGTTCGAACTTATTCGAGTTTCGAAAGGTATTTAAAAATGAAAGATACTACGTTGGGTAAACAACAGAAAGGTGTAATTTATTACTAAATCGGTACAAAAAACGACATTTCGTACGTTCACACTAGCATATTTTGAATTTATAAACTACTACCGACATAAAAATAATATCCCAAAAATATGAAAGTACGCTGCAGCTCAGACTATGAGTATTAAGTTACCCCAACCCAAAGCTGTTATCCGTTATGTGCAAGCGGTTCGTTTAAGACTTGAAGTTTATCCAAATATGGCTTAATATTGTTTTCCTGCTCTTTCTCGTCACTACTATCTAAATAATCCACCCATACTAGGTTAAAATTACCACACGAATAAGTTTTACATGTCTCAGTTTTAATTCAGATTCCCTGGGCCTTCCAAAACGGTATTTGGTTTCGATGCCGTCCACTAAATCTGTCCCGTTTACTACGATGTGCATCGGTGAAGTGTTGGACAATAAGTGGACGAGGTATAGAGGATATGCGCGTTTGCTTATGTTTTATCCAGCTCCACGAATCTTTTCCCATACAGGGTAACAAACCTCGATTTTGGTACGAAAAAAGTACTTTTGGCCCTAAATATACGGAAAAATGTCACACGTTATTCGAAATACATATGCAAATACAAATCACACTGGGTTTAAATACGAAAACTTTAAACCGATTCGAATAAAATTCGGGTAGATGTCGTTGTGGTAAATGGGGAGACGGATAAGACAATACACAGAGCAAACTATGTTCATGCGAGTCATTTCGCTCGCAGCATCATAAGGGCAAAAAGTTTTAAAGAAGGCGTACGAGAGTTCGAAAATTCGTAGACTTTTCAGACTTATAGTGTCCCGCAGTACGAATATTTAATAGGTTTAAACGTAAGCGGAAGAGGGGGATCTAAGAGAAATGCATAGGTGTATGAGTCAGCACAAGGGTGGTCAGCAGAAAAACGACTGGATGCGAACAAAACGCCTAAGAAAACACCACAAAAGCTATTAAAAACAACAATAAAAGTGAATTCGCAAGGGTAGAGAAGAACGTCTATTAAATTATCAATAAGACGCCGATATAAACAGTGATGTGGTTTTTAGTGTTGTAGACAGTAAAAGTAAGCTAAAAACTTGGCGAGATCGGTAAAATATGTGGACGTGCCCAAAGTGCAAATCAGAAAACCGAGTCGATACGTGCCTGGAATAGCGAACATATGACGTTGGCCGTAATTAGTCATAAAATCCGTTCCATCGATCGTTGACGTGTTAAAGCAAGATCATCAAACTGTCCATATGCTGGTTTCCCGTCTCATTAAACAAGACAAATTTCGCGCTGTGTGAGCCATCGAACTATTAAATATCGCAGGGGTTTCAATTAATTTAAGATGTAACCTCCTCTGGCAAAAGGTGGATAATTTAAACCTCAGGCCTTTGGACGGGGACCGAAGTCGGAAAGCGTAGATGAGCTTAACAGGGCTTCATTGCAACATGAAGTACATAACAGACGCGGAAGCTCCTTCCTACGTGCTTTTTAAACAAGAGGACGAAGAAGACAACGTTTGTGTGCGTCTACGCGGCGGATTGTGAGCGTGGTATACGATGTACAGATGTACACAGATGTATGCTAGAGTGGGCAAGTCCTCTTAAACATTCCACAATTGATTACTTTAGTTGCAATAAAGCAATAAGATTGTTCTACCAGTAATGGACAAATATTTGTGCGGAATGCCATTTTAGCACCTTCAAAAATATTCATACGATTTTAGCATATGGAGCCTTACATTGCGAATTTGTAGCATGGTGAAAATTTACCAAAGAAATGATCGTCAACTAAGGGAAACGGACTGGCTAACGCTTACACCTTCTACACGCTTGAGAAAGTAGCACAAACGCCCAAAGAGGACTCTCTGGGTTTGCCTACACTACAGTGGTGGAGCTACCTGAAAGGTGGCTGGCGAAATTTGACCAAGATTCCTTTACAAAGGAAAATATGGTTCTCGCTTACAGTAAATTATGCGAGCCACTGGATGATGGAAAATATCCGAATAACGGTAAACAGGATGTTGACGGACCACTGAGAGTATACCCAGAACATTTTTTGTGTTTATACGAAAGCCACGCGAAGTGTGGTAGTATTACGTACTCTGGCTGAACCGGTGGATTTAGGGAGCCTTTGTAAAGACCATTGGCGAATGTTGGTGATGGAGAACGCAGAATAAGAATAACATGTGCCTAAAGTATACTTTTTCCCTACACTTAGATACAGATGCAGTTATCGAATTCCACGATCCAACCGACTCTACGCTCGGCTGGTCGTAAGATTACTCTAATTTCCCTAGACATCGATTTTTATGTAATCATTATTTCTTAAAATTACCTAAATTTATTTCTACGATTATTCACATATAATCCAGCCGCAATAAATTTGAATTTACTGCTTATCATTTCGTTCCGTTATTCTACTCACATATCATTAATGTTGACGGACAAAAATTTGAATTGGATGCTGAACAACCGGACATGGGCAATATACCTCGGGGCAAATTGGATACTAATCGTGTGCCAGATAAAAGAGTATAGTATACCGCGCCGATGACTGTGTGGATGTCCGTTAAATTGTAATAACGCTCAAGATGGGCATTCAGAGTTCCCTTTACGAACATGGAAGTGCTGGACGTAAGGTCAATGTTTGCACGCGCACATGTTTGGATGCATCCACGGCGAAGAAAATGTTATCAGGGTTAAATAAAACTCGGTCAAGAAGTAAAACGGATTCAAAGCCTAGCATGATTTTTGACGAGTTCCGTTAAAGGCGCTTCTAACAAAAATGACGAGTGAGTTGCGCGATCTGCTCGTCAAAAATAATAGACCATACGCCATATGATTTTGTTGGAACTTCCGCACTTCTTCAATTTTAAAAATCATCATGCATAACATCAAAATTCGAAGAATTATAATAAGGATCGGCGCGAAAAACATATTTTACTTACATTGTCAGGTAGGATTGTCCAAAACACCGACGTCAACCGCGGGTGGAAACAAATAATGAATAATGAATGAATAATTTTTCGAAACAACCGCTTAAACGGTTAGTGTGATTGAATACAGGCGAAGTTCGGGCTGCGAATGGCAGGTACCATTGAACCAATATTACCAATTCCGCGCTATTTTCAACTTTCTGCCTTAATTGTTCCAAATCCATGCGAAAAATAGTTCTACACGGCCACATATCAAGGTTACTTTGAAATTTACATAACAATTTCGAGTTTTTGAACGCGAAGGTCTAATTTTGTTTTTTTTTTAATTATATGCTACACACCACCAGCTATTTGCCGCCGTTCTATTAGATATGCAGCGATGTAAGACCGAAGGTCACTGTGGAAGCGTTTGGCGCTAGTATAGGTAAGCAGGAGAAGAGGATAAATTAGATAGTGTGTAGGTTGTTCTATACGACTGAAAGCGCATTCATCCCTCCCAACAATGGCTTAGACGACGGTCCAAAGATTGAAAATGCATCTTTTGCCGAAGTGACAGTTTGTCAGGAGCTTTTGGCACTAAATGACACAAAATCACCCGGTCCCGATGATATCCCGCCTAAATTACTGAAAGAACTTGTTGAAGAGCTAACCAAACCGCTTTCCCTGCTTTTTAGTACTCGTTTGAAGCAGGCTGTTTAACAGCCGATTGGAAATCTGCACGGGTCACACTGCTCTATAAAGGCGGCAGAAAGGTTTCAGCAAACAATTATAGACCAATCGGCCTTACTTCGATTTATTGCATAATTATGGGAAACAGTAGTAAAGC